TTTGTTTTATGACATGTATACAAGTTTCCAAAGCTCCTACTACGGAAGAGTTGGTTCTCCTATATTAAGCTTTAGTGATTTCACATCAAACTGTCCAATTTACGTAATCGACTGTTCTAAACAGGATGATACTATTAAAACCGGTCCTGTAGATGTTAGACTGGAAATTCAATTTAAAAATGCTATCCCTGCAAATACAAGCGCATACTGTCTCATTATTCATGATACACACTACACATACACACCAATCACTGGGGATGTGAGAAAGATATCTATGTAAGGGGTAGCATTGCGATCAGTTTAGGGTAAACATTCAGGTGGTAAACATGGAATGGCTTAGTGTTGAGTTTTATGACGAGCATAACATATTGCTTGGTATAGAGAAGGTAGACTGTTTTAAAATATATGCAGATATGAAAAAGTTTAATGTTCCCCATGGTACTAGTAAAATCCTTGTTAAAATTAGAGAAGGTCCTTCTATGTCAGATGAGGAGTCTTCAGAAGAGGAGGAGGAGGAGGGGGAGGAGGGGTTATTTTACTTTTCAGATGAACCATGAGTGGGTAGGGTGGGGAGGGTTAAGGGATGTAGGTTAAGGGTATAAGGAAAGTAGTTTAGTTGCAGAGATGACTTCACAGGAGACAGAGGTAAGTGCTAACGCTATAGCTATCCCTAAGGAGAAGGAGCCTATAAATCTTTTAACCGGAGTCTTTCTAAAGTCAGTTTACTTTCTGGACTCCGAGCTTACCAAGTGTGCGATAACAGGAATTGTTAAAAACCGTGATAGCAGTCTTGGGGTAATCATCAAAGGTAAAAGGGGTTGTGTTTATTGGTCATACGATTCATTTTGTCAGCTTTGTGATCGTTTCAACTTAATTACTTTAGCTCTCTTGGAAAAACGATCAGAAAATATTAAGACCGACGAAGGATCAAGTATCAAAGTAAATAACGTATTTGGAAATCAGTACGCGTACATTAGTGACGGTGAGCACTCCTTGTCCCTTAATTTAGTTGAGTGGAATCAGTTAATAAAGAATATCCCTATAATTTGTAGAAACCTCTTGGAATTATTTTACTTGGAAGTATTCATTAAAGATTTTATCGATCAAGTTTTGGCTGACGCTAAAGAACAAACAGACGAGCTACCATCTGACGTTGCTGATCGTCTTAGAAGTGAATTGTCAATATGGAGGCTGTAGTAGAGTTTCAAGCTTTTAAAGATAACAATGATAATTTCATTATAAAAGAACTGGCCATTGTTGGTGGTTCTCTAGAGTGCCAAATATTGTTTAAACCTCCCTACGGCTTTCATCAATTAAACTCTAAAGCCCAAAAAACCAATCGTTGGCTTTCTCGAAATCATCATGGTTTGCGTTGGGAAGAGGGTAGTATACCATTTAATGAGGGTTTAATTTCAGCCTTATGTCTCCCTTTTCAATGTATATATACTAAAGGTAGGGAGAAGGCTGAGTTTTTGAAGAGGTTTCATTCAGATGTTCGTGTAATAGATGGTCCCGCTATTGACGCTATGCCAGGAATAGCATGTTCTATGGGTGACCATAAAAAGTGTGCTGTACGTACTGCATACACACTTCAGTACTACTTAAGCCTTTCACTTTATGAAGCTGGTCAGTATGAGCTTGGAGATGGAAAACGTCTGGTCACTATTGTCACAAGAACCAAAGGAGCCCGAAGGGGTGATGACTGACAGCTTTATAATGAAGTTTGATCGGTTTTTGGACTGGAACATTTTATCCAATAAATATAATTTTTCTATTGATATGCTTAGGATTTATTTTCACAAAGTCAACTGGAGTCTAATTTTGAAGCGTCAAAAATTCTCAGAAGCCTTCCTTCGAGAAATGGCTCTTAATTTTGATGGGTGTTGGGATATTGTTAGTAAATATCAAAAACTATCCGAACCCTTCATTCATGACTATGCTAGTAAAGTAGATTGGGATTATATCTTGTTATATCAAGATGTAAGTAGCAAGTTTGTAGATGATCATTTATCGTATATAGATATTTCTTACTAAAAAAATCTTACAGATCATCTGAGGTGCGGTTTATATGCTCAACAGGCAGGCTTAAAACCCATAAGTCCACAGGGCATAAGGTTGATATAAACCTCAAAGAGGATCGCCACTCACTCATCAGGCTGGCGTAAAACCTGTAAGTCCACGGGGTGAGGAGGCTGGCCTAAAAACCTTAAGACATTGAGTCTCCCTCAGGCATCCTCAAATGTATGTGTAACCCCCTCAGATGATCTGGAAGATACAAAAAAAATATAAAGAAAAAATATCCTTTGTCAGTGGCAAGAGGGTTAATTGAAAGGCTTCACCAAGTAAATAACCCTCTACATTAGTCAAAGGACAAAAAAAATATATAAAAGTAAAATATCCTTTGTCAGTGGTAAAAGGGTTAATTGAAAGGCTTCACCAAGTAAATAACCCTCTACATTAGTCAAAGGACAAAAAAAATAAAAAAAATAAAAAAATAAAAAAAATATTGGGAGGTGGCATATTTGTTATAGAGTGGCCATCACCATAGACTGCGATGGATGGGGCAGTCTATCTCAGAGGGTGTAGACCTCCTGGGGATGCCTCTGAGTTAACAAAAAAAGAATGCGCTGAGACCCCTACCTCATGGGTGGTGTGGAAACGTGGGTCAATATCCAAGCAGATTAAAAGTTACATCACAAGGTGAACTTTGTCCCCCATTTTCCCTATTTAAGCAGGACCAACATCGAGATAGTCAGTATAGCAGCACCACTCTAGAAGTCAACATCATCTGCCATCTTAAACATTTACATCATTGTAAGTATGATTTATTACTTTTTAATATATTTTTTTTTGCTGGTCAATTTAATGTAAAAATTTTAAAATAACGAGTAAAACAGGTAAAATACAGAGTAAAAACAATTCAACTATATGGTCTCTTTGACACATTTAACAGTTTTTTTTTACTAAAGAATACAGCAGGAAAAGATTGTTTATTAATCTCAAATTGGTAATTTCAGATAATGGACAAACAAATGTTGCAAGAACTAGCTGTCCTCGAGGTTTATGACGGTCCTTCTAAGGTCCCTTGTAAGGACCTCACCGCCGCAGAGGGCTACCCCATAAACTCCATGAAGCGCACAGAGACGAAATACGGCCCATCCATCATGGTCGAAATCGTCATGCCAAAGGGAGAGACAGCCATCACTTTCCTCCCTCGAAGATTTGTCGACCAGCTGACAAACCAGCAGATTGACCGCTTCAACAAAGGCGGCTTCAAAATCCAATGTACAGGGATGACAGGGCGAAGCCCCAACGTAAAGTTCTTTATGTAATAAAAAATATAGAAAAATAAATGTACTATTTCTTTATTTCGATTGTTTTTAATATCTTCCCTGCTACAACCAATAATTAGAAGGTAATTTGCAAAATGAAGGGTAAAAGGGTAATGCATTAATTACCGCTCCAAAGAGCATTTAACTATTATATGAAGGGAAATATAAAATTTGCAGCTTAAAAATAATATTTAACTATTATGCGAAGAAAAATACAAAGATAGTTTAAAATTACATACCAACTTGAAAGATAACATTTATTTGACAAATACAAAGTTCTGCTAGCTAAATAGCATTAAGTATCATACAAAGAAAAATACAAAACTAGACTAAGGAAATGCCGAGGACAGAATAAACAACTCTCCATATAAAGTCATCAAGGAAATTGCAAATCATTTGGAGGTTGTTTCCACATAAATTAGCAGAGGAACAAATTTGGCAAGCTGTCAAAGAGATAGCATTGCGATTATTTTGAGGGTCAGGTCACTCTGATTCGAGGTTTTATCTCTGTATATATATCAGAGTCAAAAATTGAAGCCTCATCACTCTCTGTGAATATCTTCACCATGAAGTTTCTTTCGGTAGTGTTTCTGCTAGCCGGCCTTACAGCCATCAACTCCTCAGACGAGGAAAATCCTCCTTCACGTTCGGTAAGTCTTAAATATTAAAATTGCTTTTTTTTAGGTTTGTATACTTTAAAATAGTCAACTTATAATTGTTTTTTCAGGTTATGTATATTTTTAGTGCCCAAGTGTAAATATTTTAAACCACGTATAACAAGGAGCATAGGATGAGTGACGTTATCTTGAGATCTTATAAGCCGCCACATTCTTTGACGCAGCTGGAGCCGTGATTAACGACCTGTCACATTCCTTCACAGCAATCAACAACCCGTACAACCGATGATAATCACAACAGATTATTTTGAAATCAAAACCATAATTTTGTCTTGTGATTAACTAAATGTTATAATTTCAGGATAGTACTATATTGTCGTAATATTTACTTGTGCAAACATCCGGGAACTATATTACATTATTTGTATTTATCTTTTAGGTACCCAGTCCGGACATCTTTCAAGATGATGATTCTGTAAGTTATATTGAAAAAAAAAATACTTTTTATACTTTACATATTTCTTTATCTTTTAAAGACCTGTTTAATAATTCAGTTTTAATTTACAGGAACTATACGTATGTTATGACATAAAATTATTTCTACATTATATTAATTTGACACTGTTTTTCCAGGACGCCACTGTGGAAAACCTCGACCTTAATCAATGGAGACGTGTAAGTTATTATTTATAAGTTTACTCTTATAAACTGTTCAAAATACATACTAATCAAAACTAAATAGTTTCTACTTATAAAAATATGTTTTTATTTTCAGAATGAAATAATACATTTATTGCTTCCATTCAACCACAACAGCACCGGGGAAGTATATTTCACCAACATCAGAGGAGATTTGCTATCATATAGACGGCAATTGAATGATAACACTACCCTCAATTTATTTCCTCTAGAAGGATTTGCTCACATTTCCCAGGTAAGAAAACGGTAATAGAGTACGTTTAAAAAATCCAACATTTGTTAATCATTCATGTTTGTTAATTTGCTGTATTATTAATTCATATGTATTTTCCAGCGCCGTGCCAACGTAGAAATTCATAACATGAGGAGGTACAGTTATCCAACCCCTGAAACTGGGATTTACCCCTATGTCAGAGTTGCAACTGTTAACTCCATTGAGTGGACTCTAACTACACTGATGGTCAGTAGAAATCCTAGATGTATTTACATTAATTAGTTTTACTAGTAGAAGTAACTATTTTTATAACTTACAAACATTTACAGAGAGGTGGTGAACCAATTGACCAAGAACACCTTCAGTTATGGCAAGGAGATGTGACATCCAACCATACCGTAACTGAAACCTCGGAGTATTTAGAGTCCGAAGTGCGGCGAACGCAGATGGAACACATCATTATGGTAATTTATCAGTATAATCATTTACTCACCTTTTAACCATTCCTAATAGCATCCCATCGTAATAAGTAATTAATACAATTACTAATAACTTTTAATTTATTCCAGCTTGAGCCTGCACTTCTGATGAATAATGACTCCCATTTCACAAATACAAGAGGAAATATCCTCATATATTTAGCCAGAACAGCTCCACTGCCTCCAATCGGCTATCATCAGATAACCTATGTAAGTAAATATAACTAGCTATTATACATTTTCACTGTAAGTATATAATAGATTGTTGGTTTATCTTTTTTTTTTCCTTTTACAGTCAGAGGCAGCAGACCGTTTTGTTCAAATATTAAGATCTGTGAGTGGGGGTCATTTAACCATAGAATTCAGCAGCACCTATGAAGATTACTACAGAAGGCCACGTGATCCATTTTGGATACTCATCACACATGAGGTAAGACTAGTATCAATGTTCACTATTAAATAGTACAGTAGTATGATTTAGTACCATGTAAAATATTTATTGCATAATTTACATCATTTTGTTTTTCAGAATAACGGCAGAATTCCTGAAGGAACACGCTGGTTGTATTACAATTCGACCGGCGAAGGGTCCTACATTTCCCATGTATTTAGAGGGACCCCCGGACTTCTTAGTCGGATCGAAGAACAACACAATCAGCACCTGATGGATGCCGTTTCAGGCCTTCGACCAGTACCTTCTGAACCTGTTGCTGGACCATCCAGAAGGATAAATCCCACGGTAAGAATAATATAAGTTTAGAATAAATCTTTAGCATCTATAATATATGTATATTAGAATATTGATATATTTTACATTTTTTAGCCCGTGGATGACTTCGACCCGTCACAGGCACAGGGGAACGAGCTTCTCTCTGACGAAGTACTACCATCTTCACCTCGTAGTCCTTCGCCAGAGACCTCTTCTTCCCATACACTGCTAGAGCCCCATCCTCTCTGCCGGAGCTGCCAACGGGAAGAAAGAATCCTACGTCAAAGAATGGAGTTTTTTCTAAGGGTGGGTTTTCATCGCCTAATTTTATTTCTCTTACCCAACCATAACTAGAGACATCAACAAAAAAATAAAACTTGATTTGTTTTCAGGATATCGATGCCGACAGTGGTGACAGAGCTTCGTGGAGAGCTATCGGCCACCTCAACACCACTAGGACAGAACTAAGGGAGGTGTTGACATTGGCAGATTCCGCAATTGGAATGGCCAGCCGAGCAGAGATGGCAGAAGTTGCTCCAGTCATCTGGAACGAGATCCGGACGTCCTTGGAGCGGATCCTCGTGATGACAGGACAACAGATGGACGATAACATCATTCGAGGTCAAGAAACCCCAACCGAACCTCAACGGACCATCACCTGCCAGATCTGTCAGGATGCTCTCCCAACGATTGTGATTCAGCCTTGTCACCATACCCTTTGCCCGGCATGCGCTATTCGATTATACGTTTGCCCGTTCTGTCGAAAGACAGTAACGGGCAGAAAAAGACTCTATTATGACGGATGAGTTCAATTACTAAAACATAGAGTAAACTTTAAATCAAATTTCATTATCTTTTCTCATACCATATATTCCATTAATCACAATTTTACATTTTTTTAGATTTATAATTTTATGTTTATCAAAATAGATATAGTAAAATAAAAGATATATTGATAAATTTCTACTATTCAATTAACCTACCATTCCCTAGCCTATAAGTAGAGATTTATAACCAATCAGAGACGAGCTTATTTTCAACCAATCAGAGAACGCCTAATTCAAATATTTTTGTCCGTTAATTTCAATACCACAGTCACTTATTTATAACCAATCAGAAGCGAGCTTATTTTCAACCAATCAGAAAACACCTGATTCAAATATTTTTTTCCGTTAATTTCAATACCATAAAAGATAATTCATAAATCATAGAGGAACACCAAAGAAGTAATTAAATATTATTAAATTTATATTAACATAAGAGTACACAGTCTTCAACCCTTCCAAAAACAACAACCCCACCCCACCCCCCAACTCCAACACCCACCCCCAACACTAAATCCACCCCTTAAACCACCCCCAACACTAAATCCACCCCTTAAACCACCCCCTACTCTAAATCCACCCCTAAAACCACCCCTAATCCAAAAAACCACCCCTAATCCAAAAAACCACCCCTAAAACCACCCCTAAATCAACCCCTTCAATCCACCCCTAGGCAACACGCAACACACCAAAACTACCCCTGCTAGATCGGGGGACATTCTACTCTAAACGTTTTGCTGCCCCCCCTCCCCCTCCCCCTGTGCTCGCGGCGCAGCTGAACCCGTCTTGATTTCTTTAAAAGGATTAAATACGACAAAAAGCGGGCTAGCGGCATCTGGTGGATTCCTCGGACAGATTACGATGTTTATTTCCTTTGTCGCCGTCCTGCGCCGTTATCCGCGGTTCTTTTGGCGGGTTTGGCTCGTTTGAGCAAAGTGGCGGTAAAAGTGAACTCATGGTTCATCAACTCGATCGTAGGTTCCTTGAACATTAACACTTGGATTATTTCCTTGAAGAAATTTTGATATGGAACAATTTTAATTTGATGCTTGGTGATATATAATTGTTAGTTAATGTTATTGGAGGAATTATTGTATGTAATTCCCATAATGTTTAGAATATTTCGTCGACATTTCGAAATCTTGGGTCTGCCCTCGTCCTCAGGTGAAAAAGTACCTGAAATTAAACGAACGTTATTACACAAACTCTGCCTAAGCTAAAACATTGGATTTACATAAAATTACCATTCAAATCACTTGCTTTGTTTTCAAATTTTTTTACGTATCAAGGAATCTTCGAATCCCCTTAGGCACATTTTTTATCGCCACAATAAATTTTATAATCTGCTGGAAATTATTAATGAAGCCGCCACCTATAGTTTGGCCATTGACTTTATACCTACACGTAGATATAAAGTGTAGATATACACGTGTAGATATAAAGTCAATGGTTTAGCTCTTTGAAATAATATATTTTCTCGTCGAAGATACATATTTGTTTGAATCATTCACAGTTTTGATACTTGCCACTGTTACACTTTTAAACTTATTTTTTGCATTCGTTATGGCTTCCGAATATGATACCCATACAGTATGAATTAAATTAGTTTTATCTTCCCGTGCACAGTAAAATTCACTGAGGTTACTTCGTGTTAAGCGATAGTCAATATAACTACAGTATCTGTTTTGCATGTCCACTCATTGAAGGCGGATAAAGTTACTCAATTTTAACGCGCAACTATTTAATTTAATTAAAAGCTTTTTATTATTTAGTATTAGTTTTACACGTGTTTCGCAAGAGGGCAAGATCACAATATTGCCCCTCTCCTAACAAAATTTACGTACCTTGATTTAAATCAGCTGTTTGACGGAATAGAGAGCAAATCTTGGAAACCAATCAAAGCCATCATGGACCTTTGAAATCTTTGGGCAAAGTCAAATATCGAAACGAAAGTAGGCCTGCATGTGATACCTTTTGTTGCGTATACTACCTTTTTGTAGAACTTTATACAGTTGGGTAGATACGAATAATAAACGGTATCAGGGGAAAATTTAATTTCCCGCATTTGCATCTGAACAACGCTTATCATAACCTGCGGTGGAGGTTACTATATTTTATTGACAAAACCTTAAAAGTTGCAAACACTTTTGAACAGTAATTTTTAACAGCATTTGGTGTTATACCAATTTGTTTGAAGTTCAAAGCACCATAACATACTAAATTATTTGGTAAAATTTTTGGAATTGTGAAAATCAGAGTTTTCGTTATTTTGGGGGTTTATGTCATATTCACAATTAAAACTCGAAATTTCTTAAACAACAAAAACACCTGGATATACCATGGGTTAGTACTCACATACCAAATTTCATCAAAATCGGACCAGAAGTGTAGCTTGTAAGCTCTGTGCACTTCTACACGCACACACATACACACTTACATGGACATCTCTTCGGAAACCACTTTTTGGGTGATCCAAAACAAATATTTCTACCCAAAACTTGAAACTCGATAGTTTTGACGAAAAAGATACTTTTTCCATACACAATTTCTATACGTAAAGTAAAGTGTGTACGAAATTTTTACGGGGTTCTCAATCCAGTTAACAGTCCACTTAAAGTATACAAGACGATTTATTTACCTGAGTGTGAGGATTATATTACAGTTACTTTAAATAAAGACATTTTAGTTAAGAAAGTAAACTATTGACAGGCAACCATACAGAGACTCTATAATATAACAGTAATCTAATATTTAACAGAAATTTTTGCTTTTATAAAACTGCTTTGTAGGAGTCACCAATTGCTCAGCTGATTTGTACGAATCATCAATTGATCAGCTGATGCAAACGAGCCAATCAAGGGAAAGCTGATGAAACATTTACGTTTGGACTTTTACAAATTAATCACTCCCAATCAGCTTTGTAGTATGAATCAATTAAATGTCGATTTCCCTTTGAAACCGTCGCATCGCTATGCTACGCTTGTTTAACACTGCTCTCCGTTGTCTTTGTACATCGAAATTTTAAAAGAGCTGTATTTAAGCGTTGTACAGTGAAATTGTTGATAGATTCATTGATTTGAAAGGTCAATCGTAAATTTAATTTTGAGTGTACTTATTTGTATTAAATTACTCCAAGAATGGTCGTATTTAAAAATTTACTATATACTAATTCCTTATATTAGGTATAGATTGAATAAATGCATGAGTGAATAAGCCAAAGTTTACAGCATTTTTGTTGTTTATGTCTATCAAAACCAATCTGCTTTACTAATAAATACACGATAAAATAATACTCTTAGAAATGTTTTACAATAAGCACTTATAGTACATTTCCTGCCTAATTGCATGATTGCTACCATTAAGTGTTATTGGAAATCAACTAATTGCTTCAACAACAAGTCACAAAGTTAACATAATTTTTTACTTTAGTTTTAATTTAATTTAAACACCCTGATGAGAGTAAACGATCCTAAATTCCAAGATCTTTAATTCATAGTTTAATGAACTCCGACAATAATCCGGTTTTAACCAAAAAATATTTAGATACAGTTCGGGTTTTTAATCCAAATACTCGTAAATATTGTCACGTCTTTTAGTCTTGACATAAAAACAGTAAGATTCTACTATGGTATAGGTAAATTTACCGCTAAGTGGCTTCGCTCTAAAGATAATTTTCGAAAGGTTACGATAGAGTATGCACGGTCAGGCATATCTTCGAAACATAATTCTCTAAAAGAATACAATTCCGAAAATAATATGGGTCTGAAGAACTACTACAGAAGAACTACTCCAGGAGAATCACTCCAGAAGAAGTACTCCAGGAGAATTACTCAAGAAGAAGTACTCCGGAATAATTACTCCAGAAGTAGTACTCCAGAATAATAACTCCAGAAGAAGTACTCCAGAATAATAACTCCAGAAGATATGCTCCAGAATAATTACTCCAGAATAATTACTGCAGGAGAAGCACTCCTGAATAATTACTCCAGAATAATTACTCCAGGAGAAGCACTCCTGAATAATAACTCCAGAATAATAACTCCAGAATAATTACTCCAGGAGAAGCAATCCTGAATAATTACTCCAGAATATTTACTCCAGGAGAAGCACTCATGAATAATTACTCCAGAATATTTACTCCAGGAGAAGCACTCCTGAATAATTACTCCAGGAAAATTACTCCAGGAAAATTACTCCAGAATAATTTCTTCAGAATAATTACACCAGAATAATTACTCCAGGAAAATTACTCCAGAAGATATACTCCAGAAGATATACTCCAGAATAATTACTCCAGAAGATATACTCCAAAATAAATACTCCAGGAGAAGAACTCCAGAATAATTACTCCAGAATAATTACTCCAGAATAATTGCTTTAGAATAATTACTCCAGAAGATATACTCCAGAATAGTTACACCAGAATAATTACTCCAGAATAAATACTCCAGAATAATTACTCCAGAATAATTACTCCAGAAGATATACTCCAGAATAATTACTCCAAAATAGTTACTCCAGGAGAAGTGCTCCAGAATAATTACTCCAGAATAATTACTCCAGAAGATATATTCCAGAATAAATACTCCATAACATATACTCCAGAATAATTACTCCAGAATAATTACTCCAGAAGATATACTCCAGAATAAATACTCCAGGAGAAGCACTCCAGAATAATTACTCCAGAATAATTACTCCAGAATATATACTCCAGAATAAATACTCCAGAAGATATACTCCAGAATAATTACTCCAGAAGATGTAATCCCGAAAATTTACTCCAGAATAATTACTCCAGAATAATTACTCCAAAATAATTACTCCAGGAGAAGTACTCCAGAATAAATACTCCAAGAGAAGCACTCCAAAAGATATACTCCAGAATAGTTACTCCAGAATAATTACTCCAGAAGATATACTCCAGAATAATAACTCCAGAATAAATACTCCAGGAGAAGCACTCCAGAATAATTACTGCAGAAGAAGTACTCCATAAGATATACTTCAGAATAATTACTCCAGAATAATTCTTTCAGAATATTTACTCCAGAATAATTACTCAAGAAGAAGTACTCTAGAATAATTACTCCAG